GAGGAACGGCGCGGGCGGGGAAGAAGTAGCCCGCGCGAAGGAGTAGAGCGCGACGGGAAGGAGAGGTGGGGGGGCTGAAAAAGAAGAAGGATAAGAAAATTTTAAGAAGAAGAAAAAAAAAAGAGGAAGAAGAAAAAGGAAGAAGAAGATACTGATGATGAAAAGAAGAAGATGAAGAAGAAAAAAAACGAGGAAGAAAGATAAAAAGGAGAAAAAAAAAATAAAAAAAATTGTTGTTGATTACTTATCTGCGCGATGAGGATGACAAGGATGGCGCGGCGCAGCGACGAGGACAACAGGCATGGTGGTGATAACGTGGCGCGACGGTGGCGATCCCGTCGGTGATGATGATGACGGGGCATAATGACGACAATGGCGATGATGGCGATGATGATGTGGCACGGCAGCGACGATCTCGACGATGATGTTGATGATGACCAGGTGACGACGTCGAAGCAGGGTGGGTCGGCGGGTTCGAACCGCTCCGATACGAGTGTAACGAGCGTGAGGTTGAGGGTGAGCCGAGGGAGAGGAGAGAGAGGGAGAGAGGGAGAGCACACACGCACACTCACTCACTCGACACGACGGATTCGGACTGAGGATCGGACGCAGATACAGTGGCAAGGCACAAAGTCGAAGTCTTGGATTCCGAATGCCAAAACAGCAAGTCACACTGAGTACGAGTACAGCAGCAGAGAACTGGTACGAGGCTGGTCCCCGTACCGTATGGAGAGCCGGTATAAGTACCGGTGACACGTACGGTACCAGAGGCATTTCTGCAAAGGCCCCGAGGGCAAAACTGAAAAGTGCAGCATTTGAAAGTGGCGCCCGAATTGCAGCATGGCGCCAATTGTCCAAAATCCTACGGTACCAAAGGAGGGGTTTGGAAAAAGGGTGCCAGGCCGAAAACGGAATACAGCCGAAACAGCAAAGAGATAGATCAGGGATCGAACCCTTGCGAAGTCCGTAACATTCTTCCTTAGGCTACTGCCTCTAGAGAATGGTCCGATAAGAAGTTAGAGAGGCTACCTAGAGGGAGTTATATCAATGTAGTATTATTCTCGACTAAAATGAAGTTCACTATATTGAACTTCCGATAGGGTCATATCGATAGCAAAGAGGTGTTGAGACCACGTTGACATGTGTGTAATTGCAGATCACCTCTACTTTCAAGAGGACTCAATATCACTCTATATGGTAACAGGTTGGTTCGCCAACTCAACCCTCACTCACCCTCTACACCCACACTTGGCATCAACCTTTGCACCAAATGACATTTCTGATTTTTGAGTCATTGTCTAAAGAGTCTGAGTTTGGTCAAAAGAGGTCCTTGAATGACTAAGTCGAAAAGGGAATGTGTGGCTGAAAGGTTTGAAAGCGTAGGTGTAATGTGTGTAAAAGTGAATGAATGGTTGACTCTGCGAGGATTGTGTATTGTGATTGACTTTGTCTGCAGGTCAGTAAAAACGATCAACCATGTGTTATTCACTCAACACGCATTGCCAAACTTATGCTACCTGAGCCTCGACTCAGACACTTCATCAACACCTAACCTTTGTACATTTGGTTTGGTTTTCAAACTTTACCCCCTTCTTAATGCTAAATGAATTAGGATAATTGGCAAGACCAGAGAGCCTTATTTATGTCATTTTCTTTTAAAGGTCATAAGCCTACTTTGTTCGTGATGTTTGTTTGAAAGGCCAAGAGCCTATGTTGCTTCTCTTTCAAAAGTCCAAGCTTTGTTCATTCTGATGTTTGTGTAAAATGTAAAAGACATCTCCTTGCCTAATTATTCAGTTTCATTTTATCTCTTATATATATGGGATATGACAAAGAGGTTTTCATAAAAGATATATTGAATGAATTTAATCACTACGTAGGATAGGGTATATAACTTAGTAGCGATCCCTGATAATTCAAGTATTGAGGGGATCCTGCTCTGGAAAAAAGGATAGGTTATGAGTCATACATATTAAAACTATTTATATTTAAAGAGTAGAATGCGCGAACGTTCGTCAGTCGAGTCGACTTAAATTGTAAGTCGGTCTGGGAGATCAACGCCCCGATACCCGACACGTATACAGGTCAGTCTTAGGCGTTCAACCACACGTATGCCAATGCTACAACGATCGAGCAAACGCCCCCGGTTGACTTACCCCTGTGATTGCAAGTAAAAACCTTCACATGTGAGTTAGTAGCTCATCAGGGATACGCTCACCTAAGGGATGGTGACAGTTCCTGCAGGTGAAGGTGAGTCGTACCTCGCGGGATCTTTGTCCTGTCGTAGGGAGCCGCGAGAGGTGTAGATGGTGCGCACAGTCGGAGTTGGTCTTTCGCTGAAACGCTTCTAAAACTCCCGCGTGATGGGACCGTGAGGTCCGACACTGAAAATATTTTGCGTCTGGGTGTGGGACCGCCACACCCGACAGGTGGCGCTGTTGTCGGGGATCTCGCTTTCCAGCCGAGGTCCTCAGTGAACGGACTAAGGTATTGTAAGACGATGATCATGGCAAAACGACAACCTTTCATCAAACTGATATAGCCTGTGATATGCGGATTGAAATTGTGTTGAATAAATGTGATGCGCCTGGAAAGGTGTGCAATTATATCGATAGTACATACAAGGGTCATGTTGTTAGGGACTTCGACTACCTACCAACGTCCTTAGAAGAATGAACTAAGTTATAGGATAGTTAGAAGTCTATGCTAGCTAGTGAATGTGATACTTTTCCATAAAAATTAAAAGTTAGGTTAGTGAACGATTTTAGGGAGGTATCTTTGTATGTTGGATTTTTCCTTCAATTTACATACTCGAGGCATTTATCAGAGTAACCGCATCTGTCAACTTAAATTGTTAGGAGGTTAACGACTATATTGACTTTCTTAAATTCTCAAGGATCAGAGAGAGATAGATGTGTGACTAACTATTACATTTATTTTTAGTTTACCATACACTGATCTAGTCAACCATGCTTCCACGTCGCTATTTTTAAAGTTGATATTTTAATTATTATATTCAAGTTGTTGGGTCAGGACGAACTTTTGTTCTTTGTCCAACAGACCATCTTTTTGATGTGTAGTGTAACATATTACAATGTAAGGAACCACTGCAACATTTATATGTGTCGATGATAAGGGCATTGAAAGAAATTATAATGTCTATAGGTCTTGATACACACCTTCTCACTCAGAGGAGATTGTTACGAGCGGTTTAATTATCAAGGCTATATTTCAATCTTGCCTTTGAGCTCGTTCTCACGAACAACAAGGAAAGCTTAGTTATATAATCATTTTACACGAAACTGATTGAGGCTTGTTTCGACCCCGTTACTATATCACCCCAACATAGTTCTAATCTTATCATTTTTCCTTTACTCGCATAAGCGTACTGTATTAACTTATGTATTGTGCCGCCTAAGGCACGCTAGTGTAGAACCGGCAGAATAAGAGGAAGACGGCAAGGGAAGATTCCTGAATAGGACTATTGACTTCGGAACAGGGGAAAAAGGAAAGAATATGAGAAGGTGTGAGGTTGGGCCATCGCCAGACGAACTGACTCGAGCACACACCATTCCCTGGCAGGGTGA